TTTTGGATTTTTTTTTTAAATTTTTAAAATTTTTTTATTTCAAGAAAATAGGTTCTGTGGTTCCTGCCACAGGATCATTCAGCTGCTATTAAAAACTAATATCTTGAACATACAGAATGCTGACTTTTCCTACATTTCAACAGTTAAGCAGTATTCTATACTTAAAGACTACTACTATTTTTGTAAGAGGTAATCTATTATATTTGCCTACCTGATTTCTATTCTCAGATACCAAGACACAACTTCAGCAGTCGGTACAAGTCACGTTTCAGCCTGTTTTAAATGTATGAGACTGAACAGCATCTATACCTGCTATTTTTGGAAAAAAATATTTTGGATTATTCTAACTTTGCATAAAATTGGCTGAAAGAACCATTAATCTTTTTAATGAAAGCCACTTACATGTTAACTGCATTTTCTTATAGTAAACCATTATATTCTGCAATGTAAATTCCAGGTAAATGTTGCCACAGGGGCTTTTTTTATATTTTTCAAACAGGAATTCCGAATATGTAATTTTGGGGTCCTATTTATATCACTTGTCAGATTCCTTCAGCAGAATTTCTAGTGAGTGACACAGACTATTTGGTACAGTCCTTGTGTTTACACGTGGAATAACCTTTTCTTAATGAACAGTAGATGTTTTGATTTTTTTTTTAAACAGCATTTTTCTAACAAGTCTGTCAAGAGTACTTTTTGTTGCTTTTGACCTTAAATTGAAACACTGCATTTTTCAGCTGTTGAAGCACTGATGGGCTTTGCCAGCAGAAGCCTGTCAGCAGTTTGTTCCAGAATCCATCCTGTCCAGTCAACCAAAGTTTGTTTGAATGCAGCCAAATCATATTCTGTACTTGTTGATGCTAAAGATTTATCAGGTAAAACATGTTGTAATCTCTGTCCAGCTGCTCATGACACGTGGGTTTAAGTTACAGCTAAGGAAAAATGGTGTATTGACTGAAATATGTGTAATGTGCTTTGGAAATGAGGTTGTAAGAGCACATAATTTATTGATTGTAGGGATGGAAGTAAGTATATATATGATTTATAGCATGGGTTGATCTCTTCAAAGGGGAATAAAATGCACTACCAGTAGAGGGAACTGAACTTTGGTGTTAGTTTGGAAATTCTCACTTGAGGTCTGTCTGATCTGCTCGTGGTGTGTGGATAAATCAGGCTGCTTCAGAGACAGTGCCCTTCTCCTCTCAGCCATGAGAATATTTGGAATAAGTAGCAGTTTTTTTCCAATCAGTGTTGTGTTTTTGTAACTTAGGTTACAATTAATCATCAAATCTGCACTATTTTTTCACTGCCAATGAGAAGAAAGTTGAAGGTATTGAAAATGCTAAAGGGATGGGATGTAACCAGCTGTTCCACGTTTGCAGTGTAAGTCACAGTGAACCAGCTCATTTGCTGTCTGTTCTGTGGAGCTTAAACTAAATTCTGCTCTGCCAAGTCTGACTGCCACAGTGAGTAAACTACTACTGGATGTTGTGTGTTAGAATAGTGGGCAAGGGAATACTTTTATAGAATTGTGGTGAGAATCTGGTGAGCCAAAGCCACATGTTGGTTTGATTATTTCTTTTGTACAGCTGTTGCTGGCAGGTTTGTTCCAAGGGACTTGTTTCCCTTTCTGGGCTGGCTGCAGGATGAGGCTACTTAGGGATGTAAACAGAAAGCCAGGAGACTTGCTGTGACAGCCAGGCTTGAAACACAGCAGAGCCTTTTCATTTCAGTGGACTCCTGCACTCCTGTTGAAGGGCTGCTACTTCTGCCTCCCTGCTGGGCTCCCCAGTTCAGGGCTGCCAGCTCACTGGAGCAGGGCAGCTGCCCCTGTGCCTGTGCAGCTCTGGGGAGCACAGCAGCTTCCTGCCCTGAGTTTGTCACTCAGAGTGCTGCCCGTGGCTGGGGCCAGCTCCAGCCCTGCCCAGGGCTGTCCCTGCTCAGCCCCTGCAGGGTCTGAGTGCTGGCAGTGACAATCGCAGGGCTTGTACACAGGCTCTTGGGACTGTTCACAGGGGACACTCCAGAACTGACAGAAGTGATTTTTTAAGGGTTTGGTTTTTTGTTTTACCCCCTGTGTTTGCCCAGCCTGTGGCCACAGCCTCCCTGGGCATGGAACATGGCAAATATAAAATCTGAGTGGTGGATTTATTGAATGGTTATGGTCACCTTGCTGTCACAAAAGCACCTTCGGGGAGGGAGGAGATGAGCTCTGCAGAACAGAGACCTGAGATCAGCTGATAATTGCATTCATTTTCACAGCAGCCTTAGCAGTACATCTGTTTTTCTACTAAACATTTTGGTATGGCATTGAGAATTTTTTTAAACTGCTACAGAAATTGTAAATTTAATATATTACAGGCAAAACTAGACAAATCTGCATTGAACTTTCCATAGTTAACAGATGAGGATGAATATACCAAGTATTTTGAGTGCCTTTCTACCTTCATAAAGACTGAGAGCTTTAACTAAAGCACCTCATCACCCAGTCAGATGTTTATATGAAAGTGGTAAAGGGTTGATTCCTTTCCAAAATTTTGTTTCAAGTACACGTCAGCTACTTTCCCCTCAAAAAGGTGCTAAGCCTAATATTGCATTGTAACCTTGGACTTTCACCCCATGATTAATGTGAATATTTATTTCAATGTGTCCCTCTTACTGGGTTTTACTTTATCCAGTCTTTAGTTGTTTTAGAGTTGTCACATCATGGTTTTATGCTGTTGCTTTTCATTATGAATGTTTAATTATGAACAGTGACTTTTGTAGATTTCAAATATACAGTTCACAGTTGAGTTTCAGAGGATTTAATTTCTCGGTGTAAAGAGTTTTGTAATGGTGCTTTGTACAGTATGTATTCTAATTTTTTTTTTTTTTTTGCACATAGGTTCAGTTTCCCTAAACTGATTTATTTGTACCAAATTTTTGTGTTGTACTAAAGTCCAGAGCACACAAGCTATTTTGAAATTCCTGTTCCACAACACTACATGTGTACTGAACTCCTGGCGTGTTTAAAAGGCTGCATTGATGGAAGTTCAAGCTTTGCTCCTCTGTCACAGCACCATCCTCCAGCTCGATGTAGCATCTTTTTAAACAGCACCACACAGTTAACAGGTGCCATTTGTTGTACTTTACACTATGTAGTAGGTTCCTGGCTCTACACATCCTCAGTTCTTTGTTTGTAGTTGTAATTAGTTTATACAAGTGTAATTACTCCACAAACTGACAGTTCTTAGTTTATCATTTCCATTGTATTTATTACAGAGTGTTTTAGCATTGGTATCATTGTATTTTCACCCAGCTGTTACATGAGCTTTAACAAAAAAAAAAATCTGTATAAAATGGTTTTTAAGTACTTAATGTATGTACCCATGCAGAAGTTGAGCAATAAATTGTATGCTGTTTGCACTGTCACAGCATCAATGGTTTTAAAAGTTTTAAGTTTTTCTTAATTAAATCTTTAAAATGTAACAATGTCATTTTCAAGTAACTTGACTTTGTTTCAGGAGAAAATACTTGAAACTTGGTGACTTCCTACATGCTGTTACCTACAGTGAGGAGTGTGCTGAATGTTCTATCAAACACAGCAGGTCTCACTTCTGGCTCCAGGTACTGGCATGGCTTGGCAAGGACTTTATCTCAGCACTGGTGAACAAATGAACAGACTCCTCTCAAAACTCAGCAAAGCTACACTATCTTCCTGGAGGGAAATAAAGGCAAATTTGGTCAAGACTTGCTAAAATTCATCAACTTAGGTGATAAATATTGTCCCTTAGAGGCCAGGCTTACAGCAACTCCCTGAAAAGGTTTGGCTAGGTCAGGGTTTTGTGTTTCTGGTTTTGTGGAGAGGTTTTGGTGTTTTTTGGGTCTGCATTTTTGCAGTGGTGTCTCATGCTGTAACAGCTGGCTAGTTTGTTTAATCTGTAAAAGAAGCTCCTTCAGACATTGGGAGCTTTTTTTCCTGATTAGCTTTTTTTTCAGTGAATGAGTGTGAATGCTCTGTGTGTTGTCAGTTCCATCAGAGACACCCCTTCATGCCAACCTTTAAATATTGTATGTACACTGCAGTTAAATCCAGCATTCCTGTATCACTTCTCACACAGCAATTTTAAAGAACTATTCTACTACCAAGATAAACTAAGAGTTGCACTTTTGTCAGGCAGAGGAGACTGTATCAGTAATGGACTTCATTAATATCAGCTTGGTTTTATGGAATTTCTCTCATCCCTCTGTGTTGGCACCTCCGCAGTGTTTGGCTGGTGAAACCTGCAGTTCCTGCTGGGCACTGCTCTGTTTATAGCTCTGATGGTGCAGTGCCTGCTGTCAGCTCCTGCTCTGCCTGGAAGCAGACCTTAGAGCCTGAAGTAAGGTAAAAACTGACTGGTGAAATATTTAATCATTCTTTAGTTCTGCTTCTGTCAGTGTGAGATGGAGTAATCAGGCTGCACCTGTGAGCATGGCCCTGTGGAAGAGTAGGAATGTTGTCCATAGCTCCTCCCCAGGGTTCACCTCTTGCAGAAGCTAATCATGTACAACTTTAGAAGAATCTGCATTGTTTTCTGTTTCAAATTACTTTTCCCAGTGCATTTGTGGCATAGAAAGAGTATTTTAAGTGCCTTTGTATTTTATCAAGCCAGCAATGCCAACACTGTGAACACAACTGAAGCAGGAGTGGAAGAAGTAGTCTTCCCCTGCTTGATGTATTTAAATTCCCAGTTACTTATGTCAGGTTTATTGCAGGCATTCTCCAATTTGGCTTTTCATAGGAAACCTGAACCTCTGATGTTCTTTCAAAGATCTTCTTGTGCTTTGTGAGCTTTCCAATCCATGATTTCTGGCTAATGGTGTTAGATTGGCTGGCTTAGCAGCAACAGTCCCAGCACAGATGCAGAGGAGCCTCAGCCATCCAACTGTTCCACCAGGAAAACTTCACTAAAGCACTCTGACTTCATCCCAGCTTCCTCTGGGTAGAGCCCAACATTACCCCAACCTTGCTAGGAAGGTAAAAATTAGTTCACAAATTTTATTGCTGATCATAAAAGTGCTGTGGAGATCCCAGTTCCCAGCAGCTACACCCCTGACAGGTCAAAATGACAGAACAGGTATTTTAGAGAAAAAACCAGCTTCACACCATCTTCCCATTATAGCAGCTCTCAAAGACTCTGATCATCTTAGCCAGGGAGGACTGCAGTGCCATTTACCCAAGCCTCAGAAGAAGTGGCTTTGGCTGTACTGGAAGGAAGCAATCTGAAGTCTGGATCTCAGTCTGTCTGCTTCCAGCTCTTGAAAAAAGGTGTCATCATCATTGTGCATGATTGCTGCTTGCAGTTGCTGTATTTCCTTTTCCATCTTTGATCTCACTTCTCTTTTTGATTTTTGTAGCATCTAAAGAAAATACTGACATTAGCCACAGCATGGAGAAAGAAAAGGCAACTGGAAAAAATTAAGAGTACTTACTTGTGCTTGTGCTTTCTCTCTGGTTTGGATTTCTTGGAATTCTTGAGATATAGCTTCTGCTAGCATGGAAAACTAAACACAACATGTGTGTGAGTTGAAATAATTAAAGAAAGACTTCTAAGTGGAAAAAGATGATCTGCCTGATCCAGATGAAGCTTTACCTGGTCTTTGTAGTAGTTCTCCAGAGACTCCAGCTCAGTCTGGTGCTCTCTCCGTTGCTCATCACGCTTCTCTCGAGCATAAACTCTCAGGTCCCTCAGTCTTTGCTTCTGAATTTCTAAGCCTTCTTCAAATAAGTTTTTAAATATCTGCCAGCAATTAAAAAAAGCAAACCTGAAACTTTCCCAGGAACCTGTAAGTATACATTTACATTTCTCAGCTGCTTTAGCTCCTGATGGAATGATGTTTACATGAGGATAGGCCACAGCCCATGAAAAAGCATGAGTATGTACCTAGAAATGGTGGTGCAGATACAGCTGAGCTGGATTTGTATTATTCATTTAGCTGAAATTTTGATAGATATAATAATTTTTCTTGTCAGTTTAGTCAGATGACCCAACTGTGCAAGCCAAGGCCTTTGAACATGCACTGTGATTTACAACCCACCCTGTACTCTGCAGTCTGACTTGAGGACCTTCATCCAGGTTTCCAGCAGCAGGAAATCCAGCCTGGACTCAGGCTTTCCATTCCTCCACAAGAACACTTAGAAGCTGTAGCTCACAGCTTAAGGCAAACAGTTCTCAAATCTCTACCAGTGGATTATGCAGTAAACTTCTAATCTTTTATTTTGAAAGGTGACAAGTGTGTATCTGTTCTTGCAGAGCTGTAATAACTCTCCTTGCTTTCCCTCACTCTGATGTCCAGCCCTAATCAGATCATATCTGTCACAAAGTCCACTCTGTTTTACAAACACAACTGACTAACAAGGCTGCCTGTTTGATCAGTTCCCTTAACTGAAGATTTAGATTGTTTTCTTTGGACGGTGACTGTAGGAACAACTTCTTAATCCTACTGTTTCTGAAAACTCATTTCCCCAATTTCTCATGTTACCAGCGCTGTTTTTCCACATTGATACTTCACCCTTTCTCTCCTCTTAGCCCCATAAATCATCCTTTCTTGTTTCACAGCGGTTTGCCCTGCACTGGATCCACATTTCCAGAGCAGGAACCCTTTCATCTGGAGCCTTGACTGATCAACCACTTCTCTGCTTTGGTCGCTGCATGTGCAGGATTGAACGACCCAGCCTCAGCACTGGGGTCCTGACAGGAAGGAACTCCAGCCCTGCAGGGCAGGGCCCCGGCTCACCCTCTCCTCGCGTGTCCTGGCCCGCAGCAGCCTGGCCCGCAGCTGCACCCTGTAATCCTCGTAGTATTTCCTGGCCCGCGCCGCCTGCTGCCGCTTCTCCGTCACCTTGTTCTGAGCCCACTTCTGCCGGTGGATGCGCTGCTTGATCTCTTGCTGCAGGGAGAGCAGCAGCTGTCAGACCACCAAGCTGCCAACAGATACCCCTTGCAGGCAAAGCTTTGTTAATTATTGCTAATTAGGGTCCTTTACTGAGGACCTGCTCCACACCCCAGCTTTGCAGTTACGGTTTAAAGTGTTTGTCACCACTGACGTAGCAAAGTTGTGTCACTGTTACCGGAGCTGCAACACAACCTCAAGTTTCTCCTCCTTACACTTTTTTTAGAATTTGTTTTACCTTTCAGAGCAACAGTGCAGTGTAATAATAATAACATTCCATTCTCGTGACCCCAGTAGCTGCACAACAAACAGAATAACAAACAAGCATTTTGAGTCCACAGCTACTCAAAAAGTGTAAAGTTGTCATGAGACAAAAAGCCACTTTCATGATGTGGGAATATGCATTTTAGATAGCTCCATGTGAAATCTCTGCGTTATGTAACAAATAGTCTTCAAAGAACATACCAGTCTCTTGCTGTGATCTTGATCTCTCTTAATAATTGCAGCAAGCAGTTCATGTTTCTTCAAGGCTTGTTCAACCTGGAGATTTAAAAAAAGCTCATTGCTTGCATCATGCTGCAGGACAAGCTGTCCTATGGAGCAGATTTAAATATTGCCCCCTGCTATGTTTTGGGGTTTGGTTGAGAGTTGCCTTGTATAAGTTAATCAACTTTTGCATCTCGTAACTCATTTTTAAACTAAAAGACTGTTCAGAACTAGCAGTGGAAACTACAAAATGCTTTTAAAACAGCAATAGCAACCCTAGGCAGTATTCAAGAAACCAGTATCAAAGAAGGACCATAATACTCAAGTGGCTGATGAAAAGTTGAAGTTACATATGTAAAATCTGTACATCCCTATTTAACCAAACTCCCAGAACATCCTTCCACACTCTGCTGTGGGTGCAGGTGCCCTGTCAGAGTATCTCTGCTGACATTCACCAGGTAAGAATGACAACACTCACTTCATTCTGGAGTTTTGGTCTAGGTCTGGCAGAGGGTGCCTTGAGGTGCATAGTTTGTGCAAGCTGCTGATGCCACATTTTATTCAGAGTATTGGGGGAAATGTGCAGGTGGGGAAACTCCTCCAGGAGCTGCAAGAGGAGGTCATTGTCTCTTATTGTCACTGTAAGATAAAGAAAGAGGTAAGCAATAAATTAATGGAGAATACATTTAGTTGTAAATTCATCCAGACAGTGTCAGCATAAGTCAAGAAATATTTTACATTGAACACTGTATAAAATCACCATGCTGCTGTTACCATGTCAAGCTAAGCCCAGCAGGACATATCATCCTGCCAGTACAGCAGCAGAGGAAGCAATCCCAGTCTTGTGTTGTTTTCTCTGAAGAATTGATTTTATAGCTCAGATGTCATTTCCCTACCCCCACCACATCCAGCTAAGACAGGTATCCCCTTCTTTCTTCATGTGGTTATGACCATCACTAATCAGAGATTGCTTTCTCTCTCTCTCTGGTTGCAGCAACTTAAAAAAAGGCAGCACAGCCACGGCAATGACAGATCCAGGTCAAGTAAACAGGTGCAAAATAAACTGGTTTGCAACCAGCTCATTCCCATCCATTACATCTTTGATCTTTCTGGCAGGAAAAGATGATGGGGAGATGAAACAAAAGGGTATTTACCAAGTACATGGCCTTCAAAAACTGGAATAAAAATAAGGCAGTGTAGCTGAGCAACATCCAGATATGTAGGAGATTATCTGGTGATCTTAACCCTAGGCATGCACAGTGCTGGTTACCAAAACTGGGCCTAGGATTTGCAGTTTGGCTTTCTTGAAGCATCACTTACTCAGGAGAACCAGTGGCAGCATTAACACCACAGTGGCAGGGTCCTGACAGATCCTGCTCACTGACCTGTACCTGGCTCAGCTCTAGCCACAGGCCCGAGTTTAAATCTCATACATGCTCAGAAAAATAACAAAAGGAGAGCTCAGACTAGTGGAATAAGCACAGGAGTAGCAGCAATGGAAAAAAGCCCTGAAAATAATCCAAGGGATTTTAAGGAAGTAGCAAATGGGTCACAATTTGATTGTGCACTGATGGTTTGCATTTATGTAAAGCATTATCTTCCCTAACAAAAATCCAGACATACAGAGGTCAGAAGAAGGGAAAATGCTACAGCTGACTGGTATATGTTGGACTGGTGCCTTTAATCTTGGAGTTCAACACATGCTTTCAAAAGATGCCAGTTTTCCAGCAAGTATAGTTTTGCAGTTCTTACTTGGAGCTGCTTGCTTTGGCTTCGTGGTCCCTCGTTTTGGAATCCACTGGCTGTATTTGGGATACTGAGGTGTGGTTTTTCTAGAATAAACTTTCACTCGCTGAGACACTTTTGGAGGTTCTTGAAAGACATTTTCTTTGTACTCTTGTTCCTTAGGAGCAGATGTAAAACAGATGGGACAACAGGTATGAGAAGGGAAACACTGACAGAACACAGTTTGGCCATCAGAACTTAAATATCTTTCAGACTTTAGAGTGAGAACTTGGACATATTGCATTGGATTCTCCAGAAGGACAGAATTTACAAAATGCAGGTCAGGGTTCAAATAAAGGTTAAATCTCATCACTGCATAACCTCAGCTCTGCTGCAGCACTTAACATTAGTAAGTTACTACTTCAGTTGTACAGTGTTGTAACTATGACACTGGAAGTCAAGGAGGTTTTGTTCCCAAAGGTGTCTGAACAAACCATCTAGACAAATTTAAAAAGAAAAAAATCAACCAAGCAAAAGACAACCAGCAATCCCAACGAGCATCACCTACCATTTCCTTGGCAGCTTCTCTGAGCTTGGAAATTCTACGCTTCTCCCTCACTTCAAAAATTCTGAGCTCATTTTCATAAGCTTTAGTGACCAGCTAGAAAACAAAAATAAAAGGTCTTGTCAGAGGAAATAATCACTCCATACAGCCACCTTGTTAACTTGGTTGCTGCATGGGTCAAAGTAGCTTCTTCCACTTTAAACTCTTTTTTCAAAATTCGGGGTTGAAGTCCCTTCCTCAGCAGGCTACAGATAAAACAGCATATGATTACTAGAGGAGAGCAGATGCTCCCATTGCATTAAAGTTCTCTTTTTGTGGTTTTAGTATAACTGTTGGTAAGAACTACTACAAGGTCCAATCCAAAAATTACCTTTGTTTTTCTTGTTCTTTCGTCCCTTTCTTCCTGCAGCTGCCTGCGTACTGTCTTTATGTGGCCTGTTGCACTGCCACTCAGCTTATGGTCCTGGTGCTGAGAGGAGGGTGAGGCTGGAGAGAGGGACCGTGGCCTGCCTGGGTACCTTGGATGTGATGTGTCTGTAGGGAAGGAGCATTCACTGAGTACCAAATTTGAGACAAAAAACCCCAGTGAAGTGTATTGTGACTAGGCCCTCATTTCAGAACCACGTCCTGTGAGCCTGTATTCTGCCTCTCCCCCCATGTGCTCCACATTTTTACTGCAGCTGTGTTTCACTTGTATTTGTTTTTTTTTGCAAAGTTTTACCATTGTTTTTTAAGTGTTAAACAGAAACTTGGTTGCAATTCTGTTACTGTTGCTCAGGTTTGGATCAAAGAAATGAACTAGCAATAGAAATAGGAAAAAAAACCCAGAAATGAACTAGCAATACAAAACTTAGTAACTAACTGTAATTCAGTGTAGCAGCTTTCTTTTATATTTGTTTCCATCCCAATACTGGCATAAGGATTGTCACCTCTCCCAGCTGTCCTTCGGCCGTAGTCCATGACACTGTCACTGTGGTGGGACAGGCTGTCCTCATCTGTCAGCTCCTCTTCTCCTGTGTGCTCACCCAAAGCTCTCTTCAACATCTAAGGGATAGATTTTTTTGTGGGGTCAGGTTCAATAGACAGTTCTAAAGCTGGAATGAACTAAAGCCAGGTGTTAGTGGCAGATTTCCTTTTCATCCATATTGCACTGATATTCTTCATTCTCTCCAGTGTCATTACTAAAGCTGCATTGCTCAGCTCAACAAAGAAGAGACTGCACTTACTAAATCTAGTTCATTTAGCATGCGAGACAGATTTTCTGATGCTTCATTAAACTCTTGCTGCTCAGGCACCTTCTCCTTTGTTGTTCTGTGGGAAAGGGAATCTTCAGCTGAATCTGTGGTGGAATTTTCATATTTGCTAAAGCAGAAAACAGACAGATTTCATTTCTGTTCTAAAAACTTGACAATGAGCATTATCTCATACAATTCCAGCTCACTTTTTGCCTAAGCATGTTTTTATAGGATTAAGTAAAGCAGAATGTGTAAATGCCTATAACCATATTTAACAATATGAGTATATGTCAGGAGAAACAGGAAATCTTTCTGTGAGAATTATTCTTTCACTGTCACACAGCCAAGGAAAGAAAGATCTTATTTTAAAAGGGAGGAGGGGACTGGCTGGCCATGGAAATCAAAGTGCCAGTGTGGTTCAGTACCAAAAATCTGAACTTGCCTTGTTGTTCTAGACCAGTGCTGAGATTCAGGTCTTGGGGTTTGTGTTACTTGTTCAGCACTTAGTGAGAGCTTTTTCTCAAAAGAGGTAGATATAGAAGATTCAGATACCAGAGGCACCTAGGAAAATGAGTAAATGAAGGTTTTATAGATCATGTGAGTAGAGATGCTGTAACAGAACCATCCCAAACACTGTGAGTATAGATATAGAAAAATAGTTCTATTTCTAGGCTCCTGACTGCAGAGAGTGTGCTTTAGAGAATTAATGTTTAAAGAAATGGACTAGCAAAAATACGGAAGATCAGTTCACAGCTATGCCATGGAACCAGAACAGGGTTGGGGTAAGGCAATGAGTATCTCCACATTCCACCTCATCAGCCTGGGACTGATGCCAGGTAGTGGAAATAAGCTGAATTTCCCTTAGTGCAGACTGAGCTGCAGTTCACAGGGAGCCAAAAGAGAACACTCCTGTCCTTGTGCCATTTAGCTGCACTGGTTTAGTTCTGCCTGGTAACGTCTCCGTTCAAACTGGAGTAACTTGGGCTTGGCATGGACATCCTGGGAAATGCACCAATGGAAAATGAGTTTCAGAGACAATGTAGAAGTAAAAGCTGTTTAAACTATTGGAACAAGCAAAGTCTGTGAGTACCTCTTGTGGTTGCAGAAGGCAAAATTGTGTTTCCAGGGAAAGAAACTTCCTTTACAGACACATTTCTATGGGCACAGATTGGTAACTGCTCATCAGTTTGTGGGTTTTGTATTATTCAGTTTTTGAAAAGCAAAGGACAATGCAAGAAAATAAAAGGAGAGAATATAATAAGCAGTTCATGGATCTTTAAAAATGAGTAAATCTAAGTATTATTGGCCAAAACCCCCAAAATTCTTACTAATTTAGAATGCTGATACACTTCAGAGAAAGGACATGACTGTACTTCTGTGCTTTGTACATTTTTGATTAAAAAGCAAGATAACCAGTAACTGGTTGGTTGTGATAAATAGAACTCTGTGGGTGCTGGCTCTGTACATTTTGGAGCAAACAACTCCAGGAAGAACTAAGAACTGACATGACTCACAGACTGCACATAATCACAGTCTAACAACACTGCATCACTGATTGTATACTGGGGAAAGAAAGTCTAAAGCAGGTTTGAAATAAGCCCAGAAGTGCCACAAGATAACAGACTAAGCAGAAATCAAAAAATACTGATTGAAATTCCAAAAATTAAGATGCAACATGTACCTTTGTCACATTGTCTTTGGCATCACCTCCCAGCATTTCTCCCACTGCAGAAGCAGATGACAGGTAACTGTGGGTTAATGGCACCGTGCCTGCTAATGTAGGCAATAAGGAAAAAATATGTGAGCCAGGGCCTGTGGATCCAAATTATTCAGAGAATAGAATGACAAAGCAACTGTGGTTACCCAGTTGTGACATTCATTTTGGTAATTTCTCCAGTCTTCAATGCTCAGTGTCATGGGAATGCTATGGAAACTAAAAAAGGTAAGCAGTGTTTCCAAGGCAACAGAGAAAATGAGTATTGAAAAAAAATAGCTTCTAAACCTTTTCTACAATAGCAGTTAATGGCTTTTTCTTAGAATTGAAACTGGCGTGTTTGGTCCATGTTTCTCTGCTCAGGATAAGCTCAGCCATGGGACTTATCTGCTGGAAGAGGTTTCTGTGGTATAGACCCATCTTAACAGGATTAACTAAGAAAGGAGTTGAACTGGGGACATGGATTACTTTTTTCCAGTAGAGGGAACAGATTAAAAGTAACCTATTTTTGCTTCTCTGTAAAGCAGAGACAGAAATATGAACTTGTGGCTGAATTTTAAAAAATGCACTAGTAGATTCAAAACAATGTTTTTTTGTGGTGCCAGTAAAAATAAATGCAACATTATAACACTTAGAGTTACCCTAGAGGATGCAAAATTTTCTCTCACCAGGGGTTTTTCTGGATAGAGGAAGACCATCAGAAACATCATTAAATCTTTGGGTAAGTGACTTTTCAATCTGAAATAAAAAGGAAGATGTATTCTATAAATTCACAGGAGAGTGCTGACAGGAAGCTCATACATTAGGTCTATCTGCAAATGGAAATCAATGCTGATTTTATAGACAGACAAAAATCACTATAATTATTTTGTTTACTATACTGTAAACTCTGGCATTGACTGTGGAGATGTGTATGTATATATGTATAAAATAAACACACCCCTCAAACTAAATTCCTCTCTGGACATTTAGTGAAGAATGAATCCACAATCCAAAATTCCTGGAACTGAAATAAACTCTGACACATTCAAAAGTGTTCTTCAGGGACCATCTACTCCCATTCTACAAGTAAACTAGCAGGTTTTCAAATGAAAGCACTATTGGTTACTAAAAGAAAATTAAATAATCAAAGGGTAGCTTTTCCTTACAGTAGGAATGTTCACTGCTTGACTGCAAGCCAGAGCTGCTGCCTGTCTGTCTGAGCTGTGGTGATCTCTCCATCCTGGATCCGAGGGCTGGAACGGGGGCAGCAGAGGAATTGCCTGCTGGATGGGCTCCCCCAGTTTTGTAGCACTGACACTCAAACTCCCTTTGTGAGGTTCAGCAGCATGAACAGACTCCATCCCTCCTGAAGAGGCAAACACAAAGAACCTGAAGTGTTATCTGGGAAAGCAGAGCACGTTCTGTGCATTGTGTGTACACAACAAAGGGAAGTGTCTCGATAGCTAATGTGAGCTGCCACCTTTGTTGGATTGCATGGGAGAGTGCTGTAACATTTTTCAGCCTTGAGAACATGATTTTGGATGTGAAGATCTTCCACAAGGACTTTTTAGTGTTTTGAACCACAAAAGAAAAGAATACAAACCACAATACAAATTAAAAACAGCCTAGCTGAAGCCAAATCCTAGCTAAGCAGAAATACCCCAGATAATGGAAGTTTGCCTACTCTGAGACACCAAAATACTGCTTTTCTGAAAAGAATTTATTTTAAAACATGACTAAAGCGTTTCCATCCACGACTAAAGCTCTCCTCCACACTACCCTAGTTCCCTACACCCCTAAATCAAAATCAGGTGGATGAGCTGTCAGAACAATCAATACTCACCATCTTCCCTTTCATTTACAGCCCCCTTTTCACTTTCTGAGAACTGTCTGGGCAATGCTGCAAGAGCCTCTGTGCTTTCAGATTCTTCTACCTCCGTGTCTTTTTCTGCTAGACAAAGTACAGGCATCTGAAATTCTAGAAGTGGATGCTTGAAAAAATTAAATGAAGGTCTATAAAGCATCTTGCCATGAACTGTTGAGATGGACAATTTTAATGTTTCACATTGCTTGGTGTCAGCAATCCATACTAAGCTCACAATAGGTCTGCTAAATTCTTATTTGTAACTCCAGTCAATGAAATGTTCATAAGTCACAATATTTCTTTATGCCTCTGCTTGAGGAGATGAATCATCAATAAGAATAGGAAGAATTGGAATATTCTTATAAAAAAATATGAAGTAAGAATGATCTCCATTTAGGTCATCTGCACACTACTCCTTTCAGAGCCATCCATGAAGTTTTGAAGGGGCACACACTCCTGAGAAGTATTCTTTAAGAATGAACTTAATAATTTTTTTACAGTCTTAAATAATACGTGTTACACTGCAACAAATGAAACAAAGTCTTCAGAATTCTCCTATTCTATTGAACAAGATAAAATACCTTCATAGAACTGAACTGGAACTCAAACAATAAACCTTTATCCAAATAAAGTAGTGCAAGAGTCATGAAAAATAATGCCTGGAATATTTGCTTCCAGAAATTTTAACTTCAGCAAGATGAATTTGCTTATTGTGGGTTGTCTGGGGGTTTTTAAACAAGGATTTAAAACAGTATTTATCTGAAAGAAAGAACTTTGTAAAAGGAAACAAAAAAAAAAGCCTAGGAGTCTAACTAGAGAAGAGTCTTAAAATTTTTTCTCACCCAAACTCACCTTCTCCTCTCTTGGAAAATGAATAAGCAGTATCTCCAAGTTTAATTAATTCACTGGTAGATCCTGAGCCATCTGTATCACAAGTTTGAATAAAATATTCTGACTGGGACCTAGGGGGGAACATAAAGCCATCAAATATTTCCTCTCTCAGCCTCTGCCCGTTCAGCCCACGAGATGGAGCTGCCGAGGAGCCGTGCAGGACACGGCCCTGCTGCCACAGAGCAACCAGAGCAGGAGTCAGAGCCACGAACTGAGCTTAACACCAGGGCAGGAGTCACCGCCACAGCCTGAGCTTAACACCAGGGCAGGAGTCACCGCCACAGCCTGAGCTTAACACCAGGGCAGGAGTCACCGCCACAGCCTGAGCTTAACACCAGGGCAGGAGTCACCGCCACAGCCTGAGCTTAACACCAGGGCAGGAGTCACCGCCACAGCCTGAGCTTAACACCAGGGCAGGAGTCACCGCCACAGCCTGAGCTTAACACCAGGGCAGGAGTCACCGCCACAGCCTGAGCTTAACACCAGGGCAGGAGTCACCGCCACAGCCTGAGCTTAACACCAGGGCAGGAGTCACCGCCACAGCCTGAGCTTAACACCAGGGCAGGAGTCACCGCCACAGCCTGAGCTTAACACCAGGGCAGGAGTCACCGCCACAGCCTGAGCTTAACACCAGGGCAGGAGTCACCGCCACAGCCTGAGCTTAACACCAGGGCAGGAGTCACCGCCACAGCCTGAGCTTAACACCAGGGCAGGAGTCACCGCCACAGCCTGAGCTTAACACCAGGGCAGGAGTCACCGCCACAGCCTGAGCTTAACACCAGGGCAGGAGTCACCGCCACAGCCTGAGCTTAACACCAGGGCAGGAGTCACCGCCACAGCCTGAGCTTAACACCAGGGCAGGAGTCACCGCCACAGCCTGAGCTTAACACCAGGGCAGGAGTCACCGCCACAGCCTGAGCTTAACACCAGGGCAGGAGTCACCGCCACAGCCTGAGCTTAACACCAGGGCAGGAGTCACCGCCACAGCCTGAGCTTAACACCAGGGCAGGAGTCACCGCCACAGCCTGAGCTTAACACCAGGGCAGGAGTCACCGCCACAGCCTGAGCTTAACACCAGGGCAGGAGTCACCGCCACAGCCTGAGCTTAACACCAGGGCAGGAGTCACCGCCACAGCCTGAGCTTAACACCAGGGCAGGAGTCACCGCCACAGCCTGAGCTTAACACCAGGGCAGGAGTCACCGCCACAGCCTGAGCTTAACACCAGGGCAGGAGTCACCGCCACAGCCTGAGCTTAACACCAGGGCAGGAGTCACCGCCACAGCCTGAGCTTAACACCAGGGCAGGAGTCACCGCCACAGCCTGAGCTTAACACCAGGGCAGGAGTCACCGCCACAGCCTGAGCTTAACACCAGGGCAGGAGTCACCGCCACAGCCTGAGCTTAACACCAGGGCAGGAGTCACCGCCACAGCCTGAGCTTAACACCAGGGCAGGAGTCACCGCCACAGCCTGAGCTTAACACCAGGGCAGGAGTCACCGCCACAGCCTGAGCTTAACACCAGGGCAGGAGTCACCGCCACAGCCTGAGCTTAACACCAGGGCAGGAGTCACCGCCACAGCCTGAGCTTAACACCAGGGCAGGAGTCACCGCCACAGCCTGAGCTTAACACCAGGGCAGGAGTCACCGCCACAGCCTGAGCTTAACACCAGGGCAGGAGTCACCGCCACAGCCTGAGCTTAACACCAGGGCAGGAGTCACCGCCACAGCCTGAGCTTAACACCAGGGCAGGAGTCACCGCCACAGCCTGAGCTTAACACCAGGGCAGGAGTCACCGCCACAGCCTGAGCTTAACACCAGGGCAGGAGTCACCGCCACAGCCTGAGCTTAACACCAGGGCAGGAGTCACCGCCACAGCCTGAGCTTAACACCAGGGCAGGAGTCACCGCCACAGCCTGAGCTTAACACCAGAGCAGGAGTCACAGCCCCAGCCTGAGCTTACCACCAGAGCAGGAGTCACAGCCACGACCTGAGCTTAACACCAGGGCAGCAGTCACGGCCACGAACTGAGCTTAACACCAGGGCAGGAGTCACAGCCACGAACTGAACTCAGCTGAATAAATCAATCTTTAAAACTGATCAAAATTTTCAAGTTGTTTCATTCCACATAAAAAGTAAACTTAAGGGAAACAAAATCAGCAACTCTTCAAGGGCAGAAGAAGTCCCAGATGTAATTTTAGCCCAACCAGAAGAGTCACCTCACATTCCTTTTGGCATATGTAATCAGTAGGTGTCTATACTATAAAAAACCTACTAATTTCTCTACAGATACACAGTCAATCACTATGTTTAAGCAAATATTCAGAATTGTTCTTACCTTTCAACTGATGAGAGTAGTGTATGTTCTGAAAGCTGATCAGCAGTGCTTTCCAGCTGCTCTTGAGATGTAATTTGAATTTCATCACCAGACAGCACATTTATCTCAGCTGTTAATAACCAAGAGGTAATTCTTTTCAGGAAAACTACTTCTACCTATAAAATAACAGCTACTACTTCCAATATCATCAAAAGAGTTTACGTGTAATACCAACATTGTAGCATTTCATCTAAAATGATGACATGTAATGTTCCCCATGAGGGGAGGGGGAGGTAGGGGAGGTGGGGCAACTTCTATGGTAAATTTTGAAAAATTATACCACTACCATATATTCCCCTGTTCCAGTTATTAATAAACCTTTCTTCTTCCTCAAAAGAATTAAACTGTGGACTTACAGCTAGAAAATTTGAGCCAGGAACCCCCAGTGGGTAACAAAACTGGCAGTCTGAGGGAAGGGAAGAGCACTACAGGCACATTGCTCTTTGTTGTGTCCATCTGGACCAGGCCAGGAGGAACTCAGGCACCAAGTGCTCTCTCCCCTTGTCACAGAGTGCAACAGCCACTGGTGACAGCTCTTAACAGCCCTGAGATAGGAAGACCAGTTCTGCCTGCAGTAAGATGCCTCTGCAGGGCTGAGCAGCTTCTCTCATTTTCCTCAAAATAACCCTGCTATGGACCTACTCCCAAGACCCTCTTCCCAGGAAAGACTGTTGCCCCCCTTCTCTCCTAGTAAGTAAAAGGGACATTTGCTCATTCTCCCAATTAAAGCCAACATTTCCCTCCTTGAATCCTAATTCTGAATCATCTACTTATAGGTTGAAAAGCAACTAACAAAGGATGAGTTGTCTGGAGTAGGTTTCTGCCACAAGAATAAAGCAGAAAGATTATGTAAGTTTGGGGAAAATTTATCTCTTTTATTATTGTTTATGAAAATAAGGAATGCAAATATTCAGCTTCACCCCTGAAATTTTCCTCCCCTGGGGTCAGTTTTGTCTTTCTCTGTCAAGGTTATAAGTAACAAAAAAACCCAAATAAATCTGTTACGTTGGAAACACTTTGGGTTTACATCTCACCTCCAGTCTGAGAAGAGGTTTCACTGACTTCTCTAAGATACTCCAACAAACCATCAAATATTTCAAGGAGGTTTTTGATAGATTCCTTGTCTCCTTTCACAATGTTCTCACCTTAAGAGAGGGTAATGACACATATTAATAATTAGTACTTCATAGAAGAAAAATTCTCAAAAGCAGGCATTTTCTGTAGAAGAGTGCTTGGAAATTCTTGTAAAGGTGTCAGCTCAGAAGACACCTGTCACTTACTTATGACTATGTAGGTAAGCTTAAAATATATTTTAAGTGTTCTAAATTTGCATCTTTTCAGTTCCAAAAGTTTATGGATGCAGTAACTGCTGACACACAAAATAAATATTCTGGGATATTTTCAGGGACAATTGGTATTTAATATTTTTCTTATACATAAAACTACAGCATGAAGCAGTCTATGGAGTGGCAGCAGGATTGCAAACACCAGCCACTGTGTACAGGCACCAAGTCAGATACTTCTTACCAAGCAGTTTTCATTCTTTGCAGATTATGCTGTGTGAGACCATACACAGGAATACTCAGGGAAAGCCATTATCTGTTTACAGATAACACAACACAGCTCAACTCTTTATTCACCAACTTTTAAAAATCTAATAAGAAGTTTGAAACTCCAGGGTCATGTCTTAAAAGCAGTGTCCAAGTGTACATTGTGATGCACAGTGCCCAAGCCTGAGCCAGTAGCAGATTTCAGAAAACACTTTGGTAGCCAGATGAAGCACGGCTGGATGTCAGCTTTAACATTTCTTACTCTTATTTATTCTCTGCTTGCTGTTTCAATTTCTAACCTGATGTCCAAGGCAATGGGTCAGTGTTCTGGTGACAGCCACTACCATAAGCAGAGATTCCACACAAGTATGAAAGCAAGCTGTGTAACACCTGGTTCTTAAAATGTTTCAATTAAACCACACAGATATTCAGCTGAGTTTGTCTCATTAAACCAAGTACTCACCCGTGATGTGAGACAAGCTGACCTGCAAATAATCCAGTGCCAGGGAATCTATTACTGCTTGTGCATTGTGTGCATCATCCTCTTGGCTTCTGGGAGTAGCAATGAAATCTATTTAAAAGAAATACTAGATTTTAGACTATTTAAATGGACAGCCTGTTGCAAGTACCTTAACAATGAAACTACTTTAACTTCTGATTACAAGCCAGTATTTTTTCAGTACCTTGTGTCCTTGATGAAAAGCCTAAGTATCATATATAGTCCTACAAAACCTTTTATAAATACTGAGCACAAACTTAGAACACCCCTTGGAAGATGTGAGGGTTTTAACAGGATTAAATTCAAGAACAGAGATTACTAAAGCATTTCTTCTCCTTCACTCCCAGCACACACACCTAGTTCAGGTCATCAGACTGGAACTGCAGTTTGTGTTAGGGCTTCTTCTCTGCCTGTCACACAATAACTGCACTACAATGTATTCTGCTTAATTGGGAACAACATTATTTTTAGTTCTGTGCTTACATTTAACAAGACTTCTACCTTCAACAGGTACCAGTTACATCAGTGCTCTTAAAATCTTCTGCAATCAGTAGTCTGACACTTCCTACACATAACAGTTTACAAACAAAGCAAATGCCTAACTGTATAGCCTTTGCTTAGCTGTCACTGAAGTCCAGTGGAGCTGGGTTAAAGCAGGGTTAAATCACAGCCCAGCTCTTAGCAGACTCTAACTATCAAGCATTTTATGAGAGCAGACTTCAGTGTTAACAGTGCTGTAAGAAGATAAAATGAGGTAGTTCACACCCTTCAAAAGTATTATGCCCACAGACAGCTTTCAAGACCTAATTTACAGTAGTTTTGTTGTGGCTATCCTCATATAGCTGCAATTCAGAGCAGTGCAAAGTTAAAATAAAATTTGCCCATATCTCTTAAATCTTCTTAAAGAATGTCAATCTTATTTTTTTGTCTTTGGAAGGATGCAAACACTTTAAATCCCTACATCTGTAGGAAGTTCTACAAGTTTCAATTTTATTTAACTACAAAATACACAGAGACAAAAATAAAAAGCAGATTTAGCAGTTATCATTCCTACCTGGTACTTTTTCTCCTAAGATTGACTCATAAAGACGAACAAACATGTCAGCACCACATTCTGAGAGGTGCTTTATGTGCTGGTTTATGTGACAGGTCCTTAAAAGATCATTGGCAACATCAACCCAATCTGTTCAGAAGAAAAACATATTAATGTCAGAACTGAAAGATACAGAAATAAAGATGTGGTTATTTACAGTGAAAGGTAACCCCTGCAAGTGTCTTTGATTCCACCAGAGGTGGTCAAACACAGGAGGCTGACTCATTCATCCAAAATACTGAATATTGTTCAAGTGCAATCATAGCCCAACTGGACTTGGGAGGTGAAAAGCGCTAAGTACCACAGGCTGGGCAGGTTATTTTTTTTTCCCATGTAATGAAAAAAAAATTTTAATGTGGTCTCATAGCCAGGAACTCCAAACCTTCAAGACCTTAACAAGCCAAGCTTTAATACACCATCTATCAATGATCAGAAATGACAGGTTCTTTTTTGGAAAACATGAGCTTCTCTAACAAACCCAGGTTCTCTAATAGTCTTCGGCAATGTCATCAGTGCTAATGTAAAGACTCCTCATGAAAAGTAAATTCTACTTTAATTAATTATTTGAGGATTGCTAGAATACAGAGGTGGTCCCACCAAGTTCTCTGTTGAGTGCAGTAAGATGTGCATTAACATTGTGATTTTCCCAAAACTTTGAGTCCTGAGACCAAAGTGCTTTGAAGGACACATATTTTAACGAGCATTAAGAACTTTAACTTATTGGAGAAGGCATGAGTCACCTTTGGGAGGAAAATATATCGAATTACTACAGCAGAAACGAATTTCTAGAGTTTTCAGCCTCCTGCACACAGGAGCGTTACTTTTCCATCCCTCTACTCCTCCTTCTGCTCCAGACATCACTTTAAGTTTCAGATGCACAAAAGGTTAAAGCAGCATCTCCTACATTTCAGGCTGATGTCTTGGAACATTTGAATTGCTGTTTATCTGCAGCTTTATTAAGTTAAAAGTGTCGCCAGGAAAGGAACAAAGACAAAAGAGGGAAAGGGGGAGGTTAACGCAAAGAACTTAAAAAGCCGTAACACAAGCAAACGACAGCTTTATAAATGAATAAACATGAGCTGAATGGATGAGCTTTACAAATTAATAAATAATGAGGTGAATAAAATTGTGCCAGCGATGCGAGCAGGGGGGGCGATGAGGGAGAAGGAAGCTCTGCGGCTCAGCCCCGGCTCTGCGGGCGCCAGGCCGGCCGCTGCTCGGGAGCGGGACCCCGCAGGGCCGGAGCGCCCGGGGCCTGGCCCTACCTGTGCCCTCAGCGCTGCCCATGGCGGCACCAACGAGCCGGGCCCGCGCCCGCCATTTAAACCGCGGCCTGCTCGCCCATTGGGCAGGCGCTGCAGGAAGGGGCGGGGCCGCGCGCTGGAGTGTCCGGTGCTCTCGGTCATGGCCGTTGTTACGGGAGCGGGGCGGGGCCGGGCCGATCTCTCTGTAACGGGATTGGGAACAGGCCTGCGTTAGGACTGGGAGCGGGAACGGGGAGCAGAGAAAGAGCCCGAGCCCCAAAGCCGGGCCCCAGCGCCGGTCACGTGCCATTCCCCGCCGCTCCCGGTCACGTGACGAGCGCCCCCGGTGCGGCCCCGTTCCCCGCCCGGGCGCTCCGGTTCCGCCCCGCCGGTGCCGCCACCGCCGCAGGGCCCCGCGGGCCCAGGGCAGCACAGGCCAGCCCTAGCCCCGGGGCGCTCCGGCCCCCGAGGGCGGCTGGCGGCGTAAAATGGCGGCGGGGGAGGGGGGGTTTGTCCGTGAGGTTCCGCCTTCGTCACCTGAACGGGAGGCGGGTGTTGGCGCTTCCTCGGTAAAATAGGTGGGGAAAGGGCTGGCCTGGGGCGGGGGAACGTTCTAGCACTTGACCTTGCAGGCTGACCTGGGACGTTTGCTGGCCGGTATGTCCCTCACCGGGGTTGCTGTTAATTGCCACGATACAGGTTTGACAGGGTAATCCGAAGGCATTTCTGCGTGAAAGGAGAGCTAAAGCCTTTATTAAAAATAAGATCTATAAAGGAAAGTTACTGTATTAGCTGCTAGCATGCAGTTTATTGGACAGGTTGGATGGTGAAAGTCTGTTATTTCCGTTCTGAGCAACAGCATTCCATGCTCCTTAGGAATTCTGGGTTTTCCATGTTGAAAGCGAAAATGGTGTCCTTTATCATTGAACTCCTCGAGCACGACAAAAGCAGCTGAGCTCCCAGTTGTGACCATAGGAGCAGGAACTGGCAGCAATTAAACCCCAGTGCTGTGGGCTGCAGCAGCCCACGGGTGTCTTTTGTAGGTCCAAATCCAATGCACACAGCACCTCAGGAACACAAAAGAGCTTTTGTTGTGTGTAGGCAAACACAGATCAGTGCTATCGAAACTAAACTAAATACGGATTTTAGTTTGCTACATACACAGCTCTGCAAAGCTGTGTTGATTTGTTTCCATGTGTTGGAAATCAAGAGAACACGGGAAAATCAATGATGTTTAAGTTTGCTACATACACAGCTCTGCAAAGCTGTGTTGATTTGTTTCCATGTGTTGGCTATAATTAAGAGAACACGGGAAAATCAACGATGTTTGACTTAGGAGGGTGGAACAGAAAAATGAGGAAGTTTTTTTACAAAGGAAATTGAAAGGAGTTCCTTGCAGACTGAACTGCGTGTAGACAAGGCAGAGACTGTGTTTTTGTTTAGTCTTTTCAATTCATTAAAACCTTAGATTACTAACAGCACAGTAACAGCAGCCACAAAGTTATACACAAACAAAATCAAATTAATCTGTGTTAAGATAAATGCAATAGAACAAGAAAATTTATTTTTACAGCCTTTGCAAAAATCTTTTTTCAGACTTGCAGGAACAGGAAGCATGTAGGGTCAGAAGGTGGAGAGTGTTAGTAGGGGTGTTTGGGGATAAAAATCTTTCATAAACCATGTTAAATAAGTAACTGTATACTGAAAAAAAAAATGGGGAGATTCCTCTACTAGAAATTTGCTGGGATAGTATTAACAAAACCAGTCAAGCTAGAGTGCTACTGAAATAAAAAATTAATTACAACAAAAATGGTTGAGTGAGGTGGAATTCCAAATTGCTGAAGGTGAAACAGCTGTGGCTATTCATAAACAAAATAAGCCTGACTTAGGTTTTACTTTTGAAGACAATATCATGTAGAACTCTAGTCTTTGCAAACCTTGCTCTATTCTTAGCAACAATTTTTTTTCAAAAGCCTAGAAAATAATACACAATAGATCAAAAACATCTTTATATTTTCATTCTGTAGATCTGTATGGGGTTGAGATAAATGCTGTGAATTTCTTGACTGTAAAGAAAAAAAAAAGGCAAGGATAATTGTAAGTGTGGAATTGTTTTAAAAGGAGGAAAAATTACACTGCAACTTTGGTTTATTATAAAGGAGGTGACTTAAAAGATATTAATGTCCACAAACAGTGCAAATAAACAAAAAGTTATCACTCAGCATTTCTACTAACTCATTGTTTTATGCCCCTTGTTCTTATCCAGCAATATGTTGAAAATGAAAGTAAATGTGTTTCAGGGTGCATACACTGAAACTGTAAAACACATTGTCATGGTATCTTACAAGCTAAGGGCATAAATAGAACCAAAATGTGAAGAAATGGCCATCAAATACAGTTATTTTTGTCCCAGAAAAGCCTTAAAGCGCAGATTGCTAGAAGGTGGGAGGATATAAACGGGAAGTGTTGTTATGGTACTTCTCCTTCCTTATGTTGTTTTCATTTCTTCCCTCTCTGCCTGCAGCAGGTGGCTGCGGGTGTTTGTGCTTAAAACTTCAGCTCTAGTGTGTGTAAAGCCTCAGGCCTGGCCAGGGCGCTGGGGGAGCAGCCGTGTCCCCTTGGGTACGGAGTGTTTTCACCCCGTGCCTTCGGAGCAGCTTTGCAGCTGCACTCGGGTGACCTTTGACTCAGGTTACTGGCCCTGGTGTGGAATCCAAAAAGATAACGCTGGTAACTTTACTGACACGTGTTTATAAATATTTCTGTTTACGTATGCATTCGTAAACATTTTTAAAAGGCAATGTAACATAAAAGAACTGGCCTGAAGAGGTTTGATGTTATTTTGCTCTCCAGGATCTGCACATCTGGCTCCTTCCGAGAGCGAAAGTCACAGGTGGGCCTGGGGCCAATCTACGGTGAAGTAGCAGTTATTAGTTAAATTGTTTATTAGTTAAAAGCCTGGGCTCATCTCGAGCTATTTCAGGAGGATTTTCACCAACAGATCTGTGAGAACTGGGGGACTGCACTGCGGACATCGGGGTCCGGCTCTGCCCTGCCGAAAGTGCTGAGGAGCTGAGCTGCGTTCTGAACACGCCGGGCGGCCGAAAGCCTGCACTTATGGAGGCTGGAAGACAGAATTCTCCATTTCTATTTCCGTCCCCCTCAGGCCGGGATGCCCTCAGCGAGAACGAGGCTCCCGCCCGCAGCGGCCCCGCGCAGGCGCGAGCAGGGGGTGGGGGGAGCTCCCCGCGGGGGGGGCACTTCCGGCCGCGAGCTCAAAGCCGGGCGAGCCGCGGCCACGCCCACGCGGAAGGGGGCGTGGCCTCGCGCCGGCTCGGGCCGCTTACATAACGGTGGGGGTGGGGCCCGCGCGTGCGTCACGCGCCAGCTCCCGGCAGCCCCCGCTGCCCCCTATATAACCGGCGTCCGCGCGGCCGGGCGCCCACAGTGAGCGGCCTCCCCCAACGGCGCCGGATCTTGTTCAGGCCTTCGCCACCCGCTCTAAGTGATCGGAGTCGCCTCGCCCACCGCCACCATCGCCATGCCCGGGTATTCCAGCGACAGGGATAGAGGGTGAGTCCGGGGGCACGGCCGGCGCCAGCCGCCGCCAGCGTCCGGACTCTGAGCCTGCCCGTGGGGCTCTCGGGGTTGTTTTTCAGACGTTTTAATATGGCGGCGGGGCGGGGGTTGGGCCCTGAGCCCTTCCCTCAGCGCTCCCGCCGCGAGGGGTAGCCGTGGGAGGGTATCGGGCTTTTTTTAGGCCACCGATTGTGGACGACTGTCGGTTCCTTCGCCTCAGAGCACCCCCCGCGGGTGTGCTAGCGCTAAGAACAGCGCGGGGTAATTTTAATTTTTTTTTTTTTTTTTTTTTTCCCTGTTGGGAAGTGAAAGACTCGCCCCAACCCCCTGGGGACGCCCCCCAGCACAGACGGTCCCTGCAGAGCCCGATTGCCCCCGCTGGGAGCGGCGGGCGGGCTGGAGGTTTGTGGGTCAGTGGGTTGGCAGTGCCGAAGCCTCGGGGAGCTCTCGGCAGGGCGGTTCCCTCCCCTCCCTTCCCCCTCCCAAGGCTCGGGCTGTGGCCGGTAGGAGCCGGCCGGCTCCGCTTTGTGTTGTGTAAGCGGATGTTAATGGCCGGCCCCGCCATGCGGTGGCTGAGGGGAATCAAAATGCCGGCTATGCTGCTGCTGCCTTTGTTCCTCCTCCTCCTCCCCCCGCCCAGCCCCGGCTCTAAAATGGCAGCGGCTGGAAAATGTGGCGTAGACAGAAATGAGAGACAAAGGAAACAGCGCTGGCAGGAAGCAGCGGCCGCTCGGGAAGCGCTGTGTTGTGCTGGGAAGGATCGTTCCCAGTGCCCGCCCGGCCAAAATTGGGAAGTGATCGGGGCGGGGGAGGGAGCCCTGCGCTCGGATCCAGCGCATGGCTCAGCGCGGCTCCGAGCCGCGCCTCGGGGCTTTCGCGATCAGCCTTCTCCGAACGGAGGGACCGAACCTGAAATGCTAATAAAGTGCATGGCCTCATAAAACACCGTTGTTAAAAGAAGTCTGTCTTTTGGGATATGCAAACAAAACGGTTTACGGGAAAGTTGTCTATCTCAAGGTTTCGTAACTGCCCCTGCCCTCTTCCAGCAATAGGAGTGTTACTGGGATGGGAAACCATTTTGATCACGGGGTAGTGCCTAGGTTTTGATGCTTGTTGTAACTTGCTGTTCAGTTGCATTGTATGGAAATAGGAAAGACGTTGTCTTAGCTTGTGAGTAAGAATTGTGGCTAGGCAGATTGTGGCATCTACAGCTTAAAGTATGATTTTTAAAGTTCTGGCATCCTAAAACTTCGGTAGGTAGAATTTATACATCTGAATTGTAAAGTAATGGGTGGAGTGCAGAGATGGTGGTGAAGTTGTTCAGGAAGAGGACTAAAATGTTTCTCCTGCATTCTATGATGTGTTCTTTTTGCCTAGGTTTGGAGCCCCTCGTTTTGGAGGAAGTAGAGGTGGACCTCTCTCTGGGAAGAAATTTGGAAACCCTGGGGAGAAACTTACAAAAAAGAAATGGAACTTGGATGAGCTGCCCAAATTTGAGAAGAACTTCTACCAAGAACATCCGGATGTAGTTAGACGTACTGCGGTATGTACCTGATCTGGCTCGAGCAAGAGTAAACAGAAAGTGCAAACATATTCAGGGTCATGGGGCCCAGCAGGCACAGATGGGGTAACTTAAAATATAACTTCAGTGTCAGAGCTTATTTCCAATAATGGGTGTTTTGTTTTGCAGCAAGAAGTTGAACAGTACAGAGCAAGCAAAGAGGTCACAGTTAGGGGCCATAACTGTCCAAAACCAATTATCAACTTTTATGAAGCAAACTTCCCTGGTAAGTGAAGACCAGTTTACTGGTTGTTCTTCAGACTGGGTTAGGGCAACATCTGAATCTGTATGTTTAAATTTTTTTTCAAGCAAACGTTATGGAAGTAATTCAGAGGCAGAACTTCACTGAACCAACTGCTATTCAAGCACAAGGTTGGCCAGTTGCACTGAGTGGATTGGATATGGTTGGAGTGGCACAGACTGGATCAGGGAAAACACTCTCTGTAAGTTTTGATTATAGCCTGAAATACTGCTGGATTTCGGCAGTGGCAGTATGGCATAGCCTCGTGCAAGGTGGGCACCTCTAGGATAAGATTGTAATGCGATTTTTCTTTCTTCCAAACAGTACTTACTGCCTGCCATTGTGCATATAAATCATCAGCCATTCCTGGAGCGAGGAGATGGACCTATTGTGAGTATTCCTAAATGCAAGGGGATTTTAATTTCTAAGGACTGTATTTTACAGTCTCAGTTAGCCATGCTCACAAGAGTGCATAGCTGCATTCTGTTTCTCTGTATGAATAAAGTGATTTCCTGTTGGGGTAGTTTCCCAAGCAGATTCTGTAAACTCTGATTGGATTGTCCTAAAAATACTACAGAACAGGGTTTGATTTTGGGTTATATTTTGGAAATTGCTATCCCTGGAAGCTAGTGACTTTCAGGTATCCTGCACACGTTTGGTGGTAGCTAAGATGGCAGGTAGCTTGGTTTGCTGGTTTGGCTACTTAAATCTACTTCAGTCAGTCTGGCACTAAACTTTACGCTCAAAATTAGTCTCAGACTAGGATCTTGTACTGGGTATTGAGCTAAAAGATGGGCATCCTATTTCCAGTGTCTTGTGTTGGCACCAACCCGTGAACTGGCCCAACAAGTGCAGCAGGTAGCTGCAGAGTACAGCAGAGCATGTCGTTTGAAGTCCACGTGTATTTATGGAGGTGCTCCAAAGGGACCACAAATCCGTGACCTGGAAAGAGGTATGGATCAGCCTCTGATGCATGTCTGTCTGGGGCAACGTGGAAACTGCTTCAGCTGATGGGACTGCTTGGTTTTAGGTGTGGAAATCTGCATTGCAACACCTGGAAGACTTATAGACTTCTTAGAAGCTGGAAAGACCAATCTCAGGAGGTGTACTTACCTTGTCCTTGATGAAGCTGACAGGATGCTTGACATGGGATTTGAACCTCAGATCAGAAAAATTGTGGATCAGATAAGAGTGAGTATAAATGGTTCATGCATTTATCACTATAGCAGATATAAACTACTGCCACTACCCTTGTTAAAGCAAGAGCAATGCAAGCCTGGGTAGTTTTGGTTGGGCATTTAACTTAGGCCTCTACTGATCTTTCATTGATCTGATCTTTTCTAGCCTGACAGGCAGACTCTGATGTGGAGTGCCACATGGCCGAAGGAAGTGAGGCAGCTGGCTGAAGATTTCTTGAAAGAATATGTGCACATCAACATTGGTGCACTGGAACTGAGTGCAAACCACAACATTCTTCAGATTGTGGATGTGTGTCACGATGTCGAGAAAGATGACAAGTAAGTAGGCCTTGGGGGCAAAGCATTCTGTTTTCTGTCAGTTTTACTTTATGAACTGTGAAATGAAGGCCTTACTTTGATGGATTTTTGACATCAGTTTGAGGCAACTTAAAGGCAAGAAATCAGTTTAAACTTGTACAGTAGAAAGCAGTCTTAAGCTCTAACCATAATCTCTTAAAAATAGGCTTATTCGTTTGATGGAAGAAATCATGAGCGAGAAGGAAAACAAAACAATTGTTTTTGTGGAAACCAAAAGGCGTTGTGATGATCTCACCAGAAAAATGAGGAGAGATGGGTGAGTAGTAGCTGTGGCTTCACTGAGCAACCCCAATAGTCTTGCATGTGCTCTTTACCACTACAGTTCAGCATCAAAACTGTCAGTGACAGCAGCTGTCAGCTACAATGCCTGGACTGGAATTTGCCATAGCCTAGTTTTTGGCTAATGAAACCACGAAGTTGGAGTGTTGTTGGGTCAGTCAAGTTCTTGTGCTTTCAGGTGGCCAGCGATGGGTATTCACGGTGATAAAAGTCAGCAGGAGCGGGACTGGGTTCTAAATGGTGAGTGTTTCAGCAATTTCTGCAAGCATCCTGACGTGTGCTGCTTCAGGAAAAAAAATTGATTCCCTTCTTGTGTTACAGAATTCAAACATGGAAAAGCACCAATCCTGATTGCCACAGATGTTGCATCCAGAGGTCTAGGTTAGTAAAACTCGTAATGCCAGTTGCCCAAAGCTTTTAAAGAAAGTCTATTGCTTTCTTTAACCTCTGCATTTTTCTAAGTTTTCTTCACATAAAGGTGCAGTCTTTGTGGCAAGGCCTAGGCATGACAATCGGAGGACTCGAGGGGGATGGAGGACTAGTGGAAATGATCGGCTGGCTGCTTCCAGTCAAATAGAGAGGTGAAAGCTGAGAGCATTGTGTGCCAGTAATCTTCAAAAGGCAAAGATCATCCTTTAAACTACTACCCCATAAACTGTTCTCTCATGAAATAAGCAGTTTCATTCACAGTTCACTTTGCCCTGGTATTTCTCTTCTCTCCATGCTTTGCATGATTTGCCATGGTGCAGTACTGTTAGTTTTGTGCATACTGTCTGCTGTGATCTGTGGTCTTTGAATTTCAGTGAGTTTTTTGAAATGTTGAAGAACATAATTTTAAACTTCAATGTTCAATGAAATTTTTTTCAACCATGAAATGGAGAGAGCAGCTTTAAAATGTACTAAGCCTTGTACAAATTGGTGAGTACTGGCACATGAAATCTGAGAATAAAAGTCCACCTCTCACTTTAACAAGTGGGGCAGGAAAGCAATGGCTTTTCAATGCCTTTGAAAGTCGAAGTTCCTCCACCTATACATAGTCGTCATGTCGAGACCTGCCAGAGACCCATTCTCAAGTGAACCCTGGCTTCTTGGAAGCGCTTGCCTAGACAAGACACAGTGCATAAAAACAACTTGGTGACTTTGGGGGGACAGGTATGTTTTTCTTGCAGCTGCAGTTCAAAGGTCTTGGCAAGACGAGCAGTGTGGCCCCTTTTTTTTTGAGCTTCTAATGAGTGTGTATGTGAAGGACCTTGTATGTTTTTACTCTAAGGTCCTCAAATGAGCACATGAAGAGGCTGCTGTGAGCTTTAGTGGCCCTACTGCAAGAAGCTTTCAGATGTCACTTGATGATTTGTAAAGGGGACACTTGAGTTGGGAATGACAAGCAAATGCACACTCCTTATGGTAAGGTTTTGGCTCACAGGGTGGGTGATGAGAACGGGATCAGACGGAGTGTGCGTAACTTTTCTCTTCCACTATGCTCTTGCAGAAATGGATGATTCTAACACTGTTCTTTGCAGCCATTATTCCCTTTAAAATACTCTTGTCTAATGTTTATCTTCGATTTGGCTGTTGTGGTGTGCAAAACTTTGTACCTCGCTTTTTGCCACACTGCAACACTTTACAGATGTGGAAGATGTGAAATTTGTCATCAATTATGACTACCCTAACTCCTCAGAGGACTATATCCACCGAATTGGACGAACTGCCCGCAGTACCAAAACAGGCACAGCATACACATTCTTTACTCCTAACAATATTAAGCAAGTAAATGACCTCATCTCTGTGCTTCGGGAGGCTAATCAAGCCATCAACCCCAAATTGCTTCAGCTGGTTGAAGACAGAGGTTCAGGTAAGGGCTGTTCTTGATCTCCGTGCATAGCTTTCCTCTCTGAACAAAACGGAAACGTCTGATTCCACCTCCAGCTTCTCTTCAAAATAAATGTGGAAGGTGGTTTAGTTACCAGTTACTGTGACCTCAGAAGGTGTTTATTTATACAAAAGCCAAAAAACAGCACCCAAGTGCTCCCAGCCTGTGCTGTGGTGCACTTATGGCTAGAGCAGGCCAAAGAGGTTCTTCATTACTTGCCCTGAAATAAAACACTTTATTTCCTATGGGAAAGAGAGATGGACCCAAGTGTCCTGCTGGCAAAATTCACTTTTTGCCTTGATATGCCACAACTTGTGTTCTGGGGGAGAGTGTACGACTTGTCAAAAGGGAGACAGCTTTATCTAACTGAAGTCCAGCAAGCACCTGGAAAGCTTTTATAGTAGATTTGAATTGCTGGGACGGAAAATAAATGCTGCTTAGCTGAACTGGTGAGCCTTTACCATACACATAACTGTCTTGTCTCTTTCACTAGGTCGTTCCCGAGGTGACCGACGTGACAGATACTCTGCGGGCAAAAGGGGTGGATTTAGTAGTTTTAGAGAGAGGGAGAACTTTGAGAGAACCTATGGTGCGCTAGGCAAGAGAGACTTCGGAGCAAAAACCCAAAACGGGGCTTACAGCGCCCAGAGTTTCAGCAATGGAACTCCCTTTGGGAACGGCTTTGCAGCTGCAGGCATGCAGGCCGGCTTCAGGGCCGGCGGTAACCCCACAGGAGCGTACCAGAACGGCTACGAGCAGCAGTACGGCAGTAACATTGCCAGCATGCACAATGGCATGAACCAGCAGCAGTACGCCTACCCTGCCACTGGTGCCGCTCCTATGATAGGTTACCCCATGCCCACAAGTTATTCTCAATAACTTAGTGTATTTAAATGTCTCAGTTTTTCATAATTGCTCTTTATATTGTGTGTTATCAAAACAGGATAGTTATTTAAGAAATGGGAAATGCAGAAATGACTGCAGTGCAGCAGTAATTATGGTGCACTTTTTCGCTATTTAAGTTGAATATTTCTCTACATTCCTGAAACAATTTTTAGTTTTTTGTACTAGAAAATGCAGACAGTGTTTTCAAAGTAAATGTACAGTGATTTGAAATACAGTAACAGAAGGCAGTGCATGGCCTTCCAATAAAGATATTTGAAGACCGATTTTTCTTTCAGATGACAATTTTCTCAACATGTGCACAACTTTACATTAATGATATGTCAAATGTTTTTATATTAAATTCTAGAAAGGTTTCTCAACTGTGTCTGATTAAACATTTAAGCTTATACAAATACCAGCCTTGCCTTGATTGGGCTAGATTGCTTAGCATGGCAGGCTCTGCTTTGATGGGGAAGAAAATTAAAGCTGGCTTCCAAGAAAGTATTGGAAGCAGTGTTCTTCCTTGTCTCACTAGCATAGGGCCAGTTCTTGGAAAAGATCAAAACTCTGTAGTGGTGTTGCTAACGAGCTGCTACGAGCGTAGGAAGCTTCTGCAGCACCGTAACCGTCGCCTTCACACGAGCATATGTGCAGACCAGGCTTGAGTGTTGTGTACCCACAGCTGCAGGCGTTGTGAGTTAGCATGCAGGCTTCTGAGCTTCAGAGAAACAGGAAGATCTTAGTATTAAAACTTCAAATTATACTTACACTGGTATTGAGCAGTGATTTCTTTATGGAGGTGGTGGGAGGGGAAGTGGGCTGTTGATCCATGACAATGCCTCATGGTTTTGGGTTTTTTTTTTTTTAAGGGCTTTTAATATGTGAAAATGACTCCCTAATCTCAAAGCACTGCCCATGCTGAGTGAAAGAACAGCATAATTCTTGATCCTGGGGTTAAAGTGCTTTATGCCTTCAAGTATGGTGTATTTAAATTCCAGTTTGATACCGATTTTCAGTTCCCTCTTGTTTATCAGTAACAGTGAGTTTTAAGTTTAACAGCACTTAATGTGTTCAAGGTTGAATCTACAAGACTCTTTTTATGTTATTTTGAACCTGAGTTAACTTTCTTTTGCACTTAGATCTTTTTGCTCAGTCCTTGATTACTTGTCCTTGTTTCCCTTTGAGGCTCAGCTTGTGATGTTCTCTAATGCAGCTTAGTCTGCCTCTTACATTTCCTCATTTTCTGTGAAGTTCTATCACTTGACAGTATTTTGTGATCCTTCACTCTCGCTTTGGGAACTCCAGCTGGAGGCTTGGAACTACCCCACTGTAGTCTAAAACTGCAGGTGGCAAAGTATTTTATTTTGGTTTGGGTCTTTTTTTTTTGGGGGGGTGGGGTCGGGGTGGGGTTTTTCTCTCATTTATTTGTTTTGGAACACTGCTTGGTGTCACCAGGGGTGAAAAACAAGGAAGTAGATTATTTATTACTGAAGTGTGACTTAACTCCTAAGTTTCCATGTCAGTGGCCTGAAACAAAATGCATTGAAAAGCTGGTTTTGTAAAGTTGTGGGGTTTTAGTATTAAAAAAAAAGGTTAATTTATAGCTTGTGCATTAAAATTGAGATATGAGAGTCTTTAACAGTGGTGTAAAATCCAAACTGCAGAAAGATGTTTCCTCCCTGTATTTTATAACTCTTTTCAAACAACCCTTTGCATGGGGCAGTGTTTCCTAAGGGGGAAAATACGACATTTGCACATAAAATAATGGAAAGAAACGAGCTCTAAGCAGCTTTGACATTACTGCCAGTGCTACTCTGGCAGAATTGAGCTCATGGCAAATCTGCCTTGGAACTTCACTTGCCTGCAGTTCTTGAGGCGGGACTAGCAGCTCCTGCGGCTGACCCAGTGCCCTACTAAAGCGGCTGTCGGCCCGGGGAGGGGGCTGCGCCGCCCGCTCCGGCGCGGGGATTATCCCAGCCGAGCCCGCTGCCGCCGCGGCTCGCGGAATGGCTCCCGCTCGGCCCCGCCTCCGCCAGCTCGGGCTGCAGCCGCTGTGGAAATTTCCACTGCGCTGCCTGCGCCGCGCCGCGCTGCCGCGGGGAGCCGGGGCCTCGCCCGCGCCCTTGGCAGCCGTGCCGCCTCCGCCCCGGCTCTGCCCGCTGCCTCGATGTGCTTCGGGCGTGCTGCTGTCCCCGCGGCGGGCTCCAGAGGGGCTTTTCCCAGGAATGTGCCCGTGCAGCTGCAGCGTGTTCCGGTGCCAGCAAGGGCAGGGTCTGTCCCGTTGTCCCCCTCCCAGTGCTGCCGAGCTCTGGACGTCCCTGTCCCATAGGGGCAGGCCAGGCGTGACCCCGGCACGTGTGGCCTTATTGCCGATGTTGGGAGCGCTCCAGACGAGTTTGGTTTATAAAAGTGACATTCTTTATTCTGTGCGGGGCTCAAGGTTGAGCACACCAAGGGGTAAAAAGTTACATCTTTTTTTACAATAAAATGTACATGAACCCACCTATCTAATGCACATTCTCCGCCTACCCAGTGTATGTTTATTTGTGTGATGTGATCTTACCCAATACTTGAAAGGAGTTCTTTATTAAGCAACCTCCATTGTAGAAGTTCGCTGACAGCATTAGTTATGTTTACAAAAGGCGAGAAAATTCAGCTCCAAGACGTCAGTTCCTTTAGCAGAAGTTATCTGACGGCATCATTACGGTTACAGAAGGTGAGAAGATTGAGCCTGGGGACAGAAAATTCACCTCGGACGGTCCCTGACCTTCGGCCTGCGGTCCGGGCGAGGCCGCGATGCCTCCACTGCGCATGCGCGGCCGCCACACACTCCCCCCGCTCCCGGCGTGGGGGGGGGGGGGGGGCGGGGGGGCGGGGCCCCCCCCCCCCCCATCCCCACACACATTTCCCCCCCTCCCCTTTCAGCCCCGCCGTGAGGGAGCGGCAAGATGGCGCTGGGCTCCCGCCAAGGCTGCCGCTGGTGCGGCCGCGCCGCCCTGGCACAGCCGAGGCGGCGGCGAGTCCCGGAGCCGGCCGGGTGCTCGGCGCGGCCGTACTCGGAGGGCGGCGGTGCTTCCGAGGCGGCGGGCGGGGCGGAGCTGCTGGAGGTGTGCTGGCGGCGGCTCTTCCTACGGGGCGGCGCGGGGCCGCTGCCCTGGAGCGCCTACCTGAGCGGCCGCCACCCCGGCTTCGGGCCGCTGGGCGCGGCGCTGCGCGCCAACCTGGCGGCGCAGTGGTGGGACTCGGCGCTGCCCCTGCGCGAGCAGGTGTTCCCCGTGGATGCCCCGCTCCACGGCCCCGCTCCGCGGGACGCGCAGGGGCTGCGGCTGCTGCACCCGGAGACGCTGCGCGAAGCCCTCCAGGGCTGTGGGCAGGGCTCTGGCGGCTCGGCCCTGGAAGAAGTACTGGGGGCCGCGGGGCTGCTGCGGGAGAGCCTCCTGCCCGGTAGGTCCCGGGCGGCTCCGCTCAGCCTGCACCCTGCGCACGAGTTTCTTGCTGGGAGCGAAGCAGCTGCATTTAAGGGATTTTCCCAGTTGCGTTGGTGCGGTGGGAATGTTCCTTCTGTAGGCTGTGAATATGTGTGCTTTTCAAGGACCTGACCAGCACAGGTGGACAGCAGATACGCTCCCTGTAATTCGGGGAAAAGCACATTAAAATCAATGTGCCCCGAGGAACCAGCCTGCTGAGCCCATGTCTGCAAAGCATCAGTGCTAGTAAAGATAGTGGGACTGCATGTACAAACAACACGTGTATAATAGGTGCTTAATTTGTTCTTGGTAGTGTTAAAACATCAGAAACTTTCCCGTGGCCACTAAAAACAGGGCTTTGTGTTTTGTAGGTGTTCTGGCGCAATATGTCAGCTGCTTAGAGCTGGTGAACAAAAGACTGCCCTGTGGCCTTGCTCAGATTGGAGTGTGCTTTCATTCTGTTCCAGAAAGTGAACATTCTGTTTCAGGAAATGAACACAACAAAAACCTTACAAGGTAGAGTAATAGAGGAGTTAGTCCCTTATTGTACCTAAACCAACTGTTTCACTTTTGGATTATTTTTGAATGCTGTTTCTTGCTTTTCCCCTGTTATTTCCCAAGGTGTTAACTTGCTGCCCTTGCTGTTGTTTAAAGAATAGGCGAGAGGACCACGTCTCTGCTTGCCTGGTTTAGTTCTCCCAGAACTTCAGGACAGTGGCTCGATTACTGGCTACGCCAGAGGCTCCAGTGGTGGAGAAAGGTAACAGCAGATATCCATGGGGAATCTTGGCCTGCTCCTTTATGCCTCGGAGGGGGGAATAATCACCGTGGTTGGTTTAATGGCCTTACATTGCTGGCCTGTTCCAGGTGCATTTCTCATGGAAATTGAGAAGCTACTGAAGTTGATGACAAAACTGATAACTAGTTTATAACTTGACTTGCAGAAAGGCAGATATTTTGTGTTGTCAGTGATGTGAGATGAAAATGCCATAAAACAACCAAGACATTTGGGCTTTAACTTATAAAAACCTTTTGCTGGAAATCAGAAAATGGTACTAAAACAACCCAGACTTCAGTTTGCATTGCAGACTTGTTTTATGTAGTTCTGTGAGATTTGCAGTAGTGATCACTCTCACACCTCTTATTTGCAGTTTGCTGTAGGCCCCTCTAACTTCAGCAGCAGTGACTTTCAGGATGAAGAAGGCAGAAGAGGATTTAAGTTACATTATAGCTTTCCTTGGGGGACAGAAACAATTGAAACACTGAAGAACCTTGGTGATACTGAACTGTTACAGCTGTATCCAGGAGAGAGATCTAAATTACTTGTAAGCTTTACTGTATTAAATATCTTTCCTGATAAAGATAGTAATGTGTGAAAGAAATGGTTTCTTTGCTGATCCAGTTGCTTAGCATGTGGATGGCTTTTTATTGATTTGCTGCAAGAACAGTACAATTGATACTCTGCAGTCAGACCTTCATTTTTCAAAGCTGATTAAATAGTGTTTGGTACTTTTCTTTTTTTTTCCAAGGAATTCTTCAAAATTAGAAATGAGCCCTATTGACAATACAGCTGTTGTCAGTAGTGTAGCTTTTACCTGTATTTGTGAATAAATGGAAACACAAACTTGGACTGTGTTTTGCACTGTTCGGTTTGCATCACAAAGAGCCTGTACATGTGAGGGGTTTTCTTTCTTGCTGTAGCTTGTTCACTTTCCTGTATGTAGAAGTTTTTATAGATTAATGGGTTATAAAAATGGCTTTCTAGTTGCATCACAAAGAGCCTGTACATGTGAGGGGTTTTCTTTCTTGCTGTAGCTTGTTCACTTTCCTGTATGTAGAAGATTAATGGGTTATAAAAATGGATTTATAGAAAAGGGAAGTATGGACTAGAGGGAAGCCTCTCCACTGAATTTGTTGAAGAGGGACAATCCTAATAAATGGCAATGTTTGGAGTTAGGCTGAACAGATAAACTTTGTATTTTACTGTATTTTACCAGAAAATTTCAACTTTCTTCTTCTCATGACAGTCCTGTCTTTCCTGCTTTTGCAGTTTATGTCTACAAAACAGGGTTACATAGGGATTTCTCAGAATGTGGGGACTCGTGGTCACTCGGAAGTAATCTACAAACCTCCAAAAGAATATGCAGAGTTTCAAATGTGTTTGCCATAGATTTAAATTTATGATCAAAGTGGCAGAGCAAGAAACTAATCCTGCCCTGACCTGCTTTCCCCACTGTTACAGCCTCACCTGGTCACAGATACACTGCTAAGGCTGCTGGTAATGTTTTAAATAAATGTCTGTATTTCAATAAATAAGAGTGCTTGAGCTCAGTGTCTCATAATACATTTAAAGCAAGCCAAAAGCTTTTGGGGGCAATTTTTGATATTTTCTTACATGGGTTTTTTCTCTTCAGGGCCGAGATGGAAGGAAGAATGTCATCCCTCATGTTCTGTCTGTGAACGGGAATCTGGACCGAGGAGTGTTAGCTTATCTTTTTGATTCTCTACAGGTAGTTGAGAATCCATTAACAGCAAAGAAAAATTCTCAGAGAAAGGTAACTCCATGTAGAAAATGTCAGAAAATAAGAACCCCCCTAGACAATGTGGTAAATTCAAGCATAGCAATGTTTCCTTTTCCACATGACCATCCTGATCCCTTTCCAATGGGAGCAGACTCAACCCTCTCACTGGCAGCACCAGGCACAGCCCCTGTGGTCCCTGTCACCCACATAAGCAATTTTTCTCATTCTGAGGTCCCCTTTTCCTGTTTTACCCTGCTCTCTGATCAGCAGGTAGGATCTGGACCATCATTCTCCCCACTTTTACTCTGCTTTCTGGAGTTGGAGTGCTGGCTGTCAGTGCCTGTTACCCAGGCAGTTGTTTGGGCTTTAAGAACAAGCAGTAGACTGGATGGGAGCTGCCTGCTGGGCTGGCTCTCATCACTCTGGCTCCATTCAAGATGATGGAACTCTGCTAACAGATCTTCATCTCTTTTCTGGAGCTCAGCCAAAAATAGATTAATTTCTGCCATGTGAATGTAGCTGGGCTCTGTGCTCGATACAGCTTGCTTCTAATTCAAGATTTTGTAAAATAGATTAATTTCTGCCATGTGAATGTAGCTGGGCTGTGTGCTCATTGCACAAAGATACTGCTTGCTTCTAATTCAAGATTTTGTGCTGTAAGAAAATTTTTGTATGTTTAAAACCTTAATTTAATTTAAAAAAAATCTATTTCCTACTTCTGTTTAGAATTGCATGATAAATACATTTAGTAATCTCTTGGTTTTTGTAAATTTATTAGGTACTTAAGCTTCATCCTTGCTTAGCACCCCTTAAAGTGGCCTTGGATGTAGGAAAAGGTCCAACAACAGAGCTGAGGCAGGTATGTTGTAAGAAGGTATTTCAGTCTTGAGCGTTGACTCTCCATGTAATGTGTTACAATTCAGACACTGTTTATGTTGAGGAAAATCATGCTGCTGCTTTGACTCCTGGTGATTCCTAGTTGTGCAGAGTTCATGGTGCTCCTGCTCTGCAGCTTGTGGGTCACAGCCAAAGGAATTCATGGCAGGCAGTTCCTTGTGTGGACACAACTGTCTTTGGTAAAATAGGGTTGGATATATAGGAGTGGATTGGGGCATATGACTCCTCATGTCAAAGCATCTTGAGCATAGTGATGAATGTTTTTTTCTGAGAGAAAATAGATGCAACCTCATGTTCATGTTCACACAACTGTCTTTGGTACAAGAGAGCTGATGCTTGCCCCATGCAAAATTAAGGAAAATGAATAACACCATCCCTCTCAGTTTAATCTTTCAGAATTGTCTTAATGCATGAGTCACATGTTCAGAAGGATTTTTTAAAAGTTTTCATTTAAGTCAGTCATAAAGTCCCTGTGGAAGGGAGGAAGCTTACACTGGCATGTTTTTAAACAGAAGTGGAGACAGAACTGCCAGGCTGCTTTCTGATTTGAAATTATTTCAGCCAGCAAATAAGCACCAGCTAGGAATGTTAATACCACACTTGTTAAGAGTTTTTATGGTTTCTTTGTATAGAGTCTCATCACTCAAAGTCTGTCTTTTAACTTGTGTTTTTAAATGAACACAGGTTTGCCAAGGATTGTTCAATGAACTGACAGAAAATGGAATTTCTGTATGGCCCGGTTATCTGGAAACTGTGCATGTGTCTCTGGAACATCTTTATACAAAGTAAGGAGAAACAGTCTTCTGTAAATTAAACTATGAAGGTCAAAGATGACTTTCTGTGGACTGCTGTAAATATTCCTTTTTTCAGTAGGAAGTCATTGTGTACAGTTACTGATTGAAGGTGTGGATCCCAAACTACAGACTTGGATTCAAGTAGTTTTATTATGAAAAGCATATATCAGATAATTTTTAAATTAAGTGAAATAGAAGCCTTTCCCATGTTACTGTTATTTCCCTGGAACTGTAAAATGCCTTTTAAAAACTTGCACGTAAAAAACAAATTTCTTCAGATGACTTGTAAGCTTGCAGAACTGTTTCCCACCCTCACCCCCATTTTTGCATCTGGTCTGGTTCTGTGTTTCATTCTTAAGCACTCTTTCAAACAACCCACTGTGTCTAGTCTTGAACTTGACAGTTCTTCCAAGTCTGGAACTACTGCCATTAGTGATGTGATGAACTGTTTGTGGATATAAAAACAGCTATTCCATTTGGGGGCTTCATTATGATTTGTTGATCAGGAGAGGATTGGGGCATATGACTCCTCATGTCAAAGCATCTTGAGCATAGTGATGAATGTTTTTTTCTGAGAGAAAATAGATGCAACCTCTTGTTCATGTGCAGTAAAACAAAGATAAATTCTGCTTGTAGAAAAATACTCTTTTAATAGGTTACTAAATAAGATTATTTTTATATACTAAAGCAGCTAAGTAATTTGAAGACATGTAATCAGGAAAGCAAGGAATGGCAACAAGAAAACTGGAGGTGTCACACCGGACTTAGTGCAATACAGCAAAACTAAATTTGTACAGTTTATGGTCATTTGTATGTAAGTTATCTGATTTTTTCCACGCACCACAAACAGTAACAGGTGGGTTCCTCTCTCTGCAGGTACGATGAGATGAGTATTCCCTTCATGGTCTTGATAAGTGATGGCACTCTGGAGAATGGAGTAGTCCAGCTGAGAAGCAGAGACACCACCATGAAGGAAATGATGCACATTTCCAGGCTGAAGGACTTTTTAATTAAGTATGTTACATCTGCCAAAAATGTGTAAGCTTAAACTTGTTGAATAAAGGGATTTTCTTAGATATCTTTGCCTGAACTGGTTTCAGCATTATCACGGACTCAGTGGTTTCTCTGCAAACAGTTCTGCTAAAACATGGTGGTGCATCTGTTCTCTGTCAAATCTGGGTCTTCCAGGTTGCCTTGGAAAAAGGGAAGAGAAAAACTTGTCCCTTATTAGCAAGGCTAACCCTATGCTTGTTCATGTCTTTGGTTTTAATATCATACTGAAAGTGCTCCATCCTAAACTAAAAATTCAGTTTTGCTCTCTATTGCTGACACAATTGTGATCTCTGTTGGAAAATGGTATTTTATATTAAAGACTTCCAAATCTTAAATATTTTAATAACATCAGTGTCTTTGTACTGTTTGTAGGAATGTATTTTACTCACATGGCTTCAGTTCTTAAACATGTAAGCTACTTCATCTTGCACTTGATAAACATAAAAAATTCAGAAATACATTACCAAGAGTAACAGAATAACAGATTTAAATATTTTTAACCAGTATTTTCTGCGGACAAAATATCTGTGTGTACAAAATGGTGGAAAAAGGCTAATGTGTGGTAATATTTTTCCTGTACCTAAGCACAGTGGTTAAAATCAGATACAAGAGTTTGCAGAGATACAGAACTGCGTGCTTCTGATCTTTTCTAGATTTCCAGTACAGCTGGTTCAGTCCCTGTATAAAGTTCAGCAAGGCTCATGGCCTCTGATAGTCATCAGTGTCATGAAACACGAGAACTTGCCTTAAAATCTTCTTCTACTAACATGGTGCTCACTTAACTGTAAATGAGTTATTTGTAACAACAATAATAGTTGCAGTATAGAGTATTTATACTAGATATAATCAATGTTAGCATCATGTGACTTACTGAACTCATGGAATTCTAAATAAGCTGGCTCTGGAATGGTATTACTGCAGCCCAGCCACATCTCAGAAACAGCTGGTAGCAGGGTGCAGAATTTATTTTGAAGTCAGCTGTCCCAAAATTAATTTTTGCAACCTATCCCTCTGAGAGCTATCTACTACCATCCTATCTACTCTGAGAGCTGGAGTACTGTTGAACTGAGAAATTGCCATCCTTGCAGGTACATAGAGGCCAAATACAGATCCTCTAGTGCCTGAGGGATGTTTTTTCTTTTTTTGTTACACTAGACAAAAGCCTTTTCACTATCCTATGTCTGCAAACAATCCAGTTTCTACTTCAGCAGAATTGTTAAATGTTCAGGAACTTAAATCTGTGTGAAAGCTTTACCTGTAATTCTAAGTTTTATCTGTTTGCTTTTTCTCTTAAGTTCAAGTCCATAGATACTATGGCTCAGAGATTTTGCTTCAAAAGTGAGCTACACTGTCTCTGCAAAGTGATTAGGCCAGGAAATTGGTATCTAAATATCTTGTCTTTGTATGCAGCTTGCTGGAACTTACCACATTTGAGTGCTGTAAAATTCTTTAAAAGTATGTGATTAAGTTAATCAGAAAAAATTATAATCATACCTGGTATTCAGTCTCTGATGAGGACCTTTGAATAGACTGTAGCACATGGCCTCTTCCCTGCTAAAAGCCAGAATAACATAATTCATAGCTGCTTTCTTGGTACAGCTACACAGAAGAATTAACATTACATCAGCAGTGTGGTCACTAATAACATCTGTGTGGTTTCATAGTGAGGCTGTTGAATTTGCCACAGGATGGTTTGTTGGGGTTTTTCTTTCTTCTTTCCTCCCCTCTCCTCAAAACAGTTTTAAAGCTATTTTAGTTTTTCCATACTAACTAAGCAATTTCATAAGCAATTGCAAGTATTTAAGCCCTGCCTCCACCCAGCAAAGTCCCCTCAAAACATATTTGTGTGTATCAGATATTCCAATATTATAGCTTGAGGTTTTCACCTTTTTCTTCTTCTCTTCTAATAATGGAGAAGTTGATGTATTCTTCTTCTGGTCTAACAGGCTCTGGTTTAAAGATGATGAACAGCAGTTAACTCAATTACAAACAACTTGAATCACACTTTTTTTTTCTGTAATTTTGAAACAAAGCAGTGAGATTCCATACTGAATATAAATCATGGAGTATCCATGGGCCTTATCAGAGCTCTTCTCACTGTCCTTGCAGGCTGAGATCTGGCACAAGCAGCTGCACAGCACTGAGCTGACCCAGCAGGGCAGTGAGAGCTCTACCTACTGCATGAACAGGAAGGCAGGTTTGTTTGGAGACAGTTACTCCATTTGGACATTTAGAAATTGGAAACAATGCCTTTGCTGTTGGTTTGTTGGGAGGGGTTCTTATTCCCCTTGAGAAGAGGCATTCACATTCAAGGCAAATGTAGAAATGTGCAAGTTCAGAGCATTGTGGCTGTCAGGTAATGTCTTCATTATTGCCTGCTTTCTGCAATTCAAGTACTAAAATGTCTTAACATAGGTCAGCTGCCTTGTTGTCACTTCATAATTTCAGTTTGAACTGACTTTGGATCTTCTCAAACTTAAGAAGGATTGAATAAATAACTAAAGTACTGAACAATTTTGAAAAGAATGCAGGAACTATGCAAGTTTTATTTTGCTACAGCTTCATATAGCTCACTGTTGTCTGTTAGTAAATGGGCATTACACCCTTTTTTGTTAAAACCTCAGTTCATTTAACCAGCTGCAGTTTTGGCTGCATGGCTCTCAGATGATGCCAGATAAGGATTCTGAGGGGTTTAAATAATGCCTCTGCCAGGAGGGTCAGTAGGTGTCCCCTTCCAGTACCTGAAGAAACCTGCCTGTCTGCAGGGGGTGACAGGAACTTACCAATCTCTGAGT